TCACAGCAATGTGTCCTGGTAATATATTCCATTTAGAATGAAAATTGTGAATATCAGTCCCTCAATGTTCTCTTCTTGTGGGGTGTTTCTACAGGGAATGTGATGTCACACACTTGGAGAAAATCATTTCAAACTACAGATGAAGCTGCTTCAGCCAGACACCGGGTAAATTGGACAAAATGCCTGGATCAATTTGTGTTCTTACTTGTTTTAAATATGCTGGTTAATATGGACAAAACACCAATGGACACTCTCCCCACCAACACCTCTGCAATGGAGATGGGAGGAGTCAAATTGTGATTGATTGACAGCGGTCCTCAACCATTCACAAGTGTATTCGGGCTGTCAATCGGTGAGGAGGGTGCGGGGAGGGTGGGAAGAGGTGCCGCTGCTCCTCCACTGGGTGGGAAACGGTCAGGGAACTTCGGTTAGCCTCGGACACAAGGTTAAGACGGATAAAAAAAATCTTTTTTTTTTAAAGCATTATTACCCCCGGAAACTGATCCGCCAATCGACTGACGAGTGGGTTCCTACTTACTGTTAGGTAAACAGAGCTGTGTGGAGTAAGGAAACTTGCCTAAGGTTTCAGCCCACCTGGGAATTGAACCGAGGTCCTCTTGCTTGCGAGGCGAGCGCTCTAACTAATACGTTAGACCCCCGCAATTGGAAGTGTCAGAAACTACAGCAAAAGTTTCAATTTAGTCAAGTGGGTGTGAGGGGTCAGGGTTGATGAGATAGGTAATTAAATGCTGTCTCAACCTGGTGTCATTATACCCCACTGCTTGTGGTCTGTGGTTTCCACACAGTGACTATAAGTAAGATATTTCACAGATGTTTCAAACATCCTGTAACTGTCAGCTTGCGGTATTCATGCTGCAACACACTCGAAGAGCTCGCCACTGACTAGGTGCGTGTCTGCGCCTCTGCGCACGTGTGTGCGTGTATGCGCGTGTGTGTGTATGCGCGTGTATGCACGTGTGTGTGTGTGCGCGCGTGCGAGCGAATGGTGGCGCAGGGGCTCGAATCCTCAATGTCTTTTGTAGAACTTGGTGTTAACTGTCCTGGACAGGGCAAAACCTTAGGCAAGTTTCCTTGCTCCATGTGCCTCTGTTTACCTAGTGATGAGTAGGTTTTTGGTTGATTTGAGAATGCGTTATGAGGGTAATAATCCCTTAAAAATTTGGTGACTCAATCCACGTCTGTTTGTGGGACTCTGTGTGCAATTGGCTGTCACTTTTCACCAACAAAATACAGTCAATTCACTTTACATTATTCAGTGAAGCGCTTTGAGATGCCCCGAAGACGTGATAAGGTCCTGTATCAAATGCAAGGATTATTATTATTTTGATGGTGAAACAACCTGTGAATCTGATGCTGCTTCACTGCTGTCAGTGGGGCTGGCTGGCACAAGTTGAGACTTGCCAAGCTGTGAGCTGTTATTGTTTTGTGTTGGTGGGGCCAGATGCATATTCAGAGATTGAAATGCTTCTAGTAGGTCAGACCATAACAGCAATCAATTACAAAATTACATGCGTATGGTGCCTTTCACGTCCCAAGGCACAGACGGTCATGGATTTGGACCCAAGCAGGGGAGTTTGGGATCAGGGAGGGTTGAGAGCAGGGAGGGTAGGAGGGTGGCTGAAGGCACACTCAAAGAAGAAGGTCTTGGGACAAAGGGTGGGGGCAGAGAAGCTGAAGGCCCGATCGCCAATGGTGGAGTGGGGGAAGGGAAAACGGATAATGGCATAATGACTAGCATTTATATAGTGCCCCACATGCAGGGCAGTGTTCCAGAGCGCTTGACAGTGGTGGAGCACAACACTGAGCCGGGGAGTGGGAGATGACCATAGGCATGGATGATAGGAAGGTCTTCAAGGGAGACCTGAAGATGGGGAAGGAAGGGGCAAGGCAGAGAGATAGAGGAAGAGTGTTCCAGAGTTTTGGGGCATAGTGGCTGAAAGCACGGCCACCAATGGTGGAACGAAGGGCACGAGGGACATGCAGGAGGCTGGAGTCAGTCGAGGGAGATAGTGTTGGGGAGAAGTAGGGAGGTGCCAGGGCGTGAAGGGACTTGAAATTGATCTGTTTGGCAATAGGGAGCCAGTGGAGCCTGGCTAGAACTGGGGTGATGGGGGGACGGAGTTTAGTGCAGGTGAGTATGTGGGCGGTGGAGTTTAGGACCAGCTGGATCTTGTGCATGGTGGAGCTGGGGAGACCAGCAAAGAGGGCATTTGAGAAGTTGAGTTGGGAGGTGACAAATGCATTGACAAGTGTTTCGGCTGCGTCTGGGGTAAGGCGATGTGATGGAGGTGGAGGAAGCCGGTCCTGGTCAGGGACCGGATGTGGGGAAGGAAAGACAACTGTGCATCGAACCTGATGCCTAGGTTGCGCACTGTTTTGATGAGTCTGAGGGATAGACCAGGGAGATTGAGGAGGTCAGAAGACATTGACGGGAGCCAACGAGTATGGCTTCCATCTTGTCAACATTTAGCTGCAGGAAGTTTTCGCTCATCCAGGCCCTGATGTCTAGCAGACAAGCCTGGAATCGCAGCTGGAGGAGTAGAAGTAGATTGGTGAATCATCCGCACACGTGGAAGTTTACCCCATATCTGCAGATGACATTGCCAAGAAGGAGCATTGGAGATGAGGAAGAGAAGGGGGCAAGGATGAAGCCCTGGGGTACATCGCGGGGGCGGGAGGAGAAACTGTTTGAGGAGACAAAGTGAAGGTGGTTTGTTAGGTAGGACTCAAACCAGCCAAGTGCAGTCCTATTGAGGTGGATGAGGAAGGAGAGGCAGTGGATGAGGATGGTGTGGTCGACTGTGTCGAATGTGGCAGAGAGGTCCAAGAGGACAAGGAGACAGAGGGAGCCCAGGTCACAGAGAGAGAGGATGTCGTTTGTGAGCTTGACAAATGCTGTCTCTGTGCTATGGGCAGTCAGGGCAGAAACCAGTCTGGAGGGGCTCGGAGAGGGAGTGGAGGGAGAGGTGAGAGCAAAGCTGGTGTCGATGGTCTGAGGGCTATGGAAGGGGACATAGGGGAGGAGGATGCAGCCAAGTGGATATTTTCTATTTTTGTCACAAAACAGTCTAGAAGCTCTTCCCGCTTGACGTTGGAGGTGAGGATGGAGGAAATGTGGTGGGGTGTGTGGAGGAGGTGATGGTGGAGAACCTTGCCTTTGGATTGTTTCTTGCCTCCAAAATGATTTTGGAGTAAGAGGCAGTTTTGGCTGCGAGAGGGAGAGGCGACAGTTGCGAAGACGAATGAGCCACAACTGGTGGTGGATTGTGAGGCCGGGTTTGTGCCATCAGTGCTCGAGCGGTGACCTATTTCCCAAACGCTGCACTCGGTTAAGAATGACTAAGCAAGGTCACGCTTGAGGCAGAGACTGAACATTCTCCAGTTAACTTCTGCAGAAATTATAATAGTGAGTTTGACTTGGTGCTATCTGGGCAGATTGCTGCGATCGATTGCTCAACATTAAAGTTCCTCTGTGGAAACCAAATTGAGCTTTTACAGGAAACTGCCCAGCAGCATTGTCAGGAGTGTAGGGGTAAGATATTCTTCATCTTTAATTGTACATGATAATCATTTGACTCAACCTGTTCCACTTGAATGAGCAGTTTCTGTTCAGGGGTCCTAATGTTTGGGATGTTGTTTGTGGAAACGTCTTCTTAATGATATTGATTGAATAACTTTGTAAAGTTACTGTTTCTGAAGGAGTGAGAAACCTCGGCGGGCAGGTAGTACGTGGGCAGTGAGAAGCTGGGGCAGTACGTGGGCGGTGAGAACCTGGGGCAGTACATGGGCGGTGGGGGGCCGGGCGGTGGGGGGCCGGGCGGTGGGGGGCCGGGCGGTGTGTGGGCCGATGTTTCTGTTGTAGTAACTGTACGAACCTCACTCCAAAAGATTTCTTGTAAAACATACAGTACTTTCAGAATGCTCGGGCTTGAAGCCAAAGCTCAGTACTTGGACGGGCAGGTAGGCCTCTGGTGTCCTGTGCTCCAGTTCTGGGGTATGCATTTACACTCACTGTGTCTCACGTACCATTACATGTGCCTCCTCCTACCCCACACGCTCTGCTCTGGGCACCTGAGCCTCCTTGGGGTGTGAAGACTGATTGGACGTGCAAATGGGGACCTGTTTCTTCTCCAGCATGATTTCTTGCCATTTCTTTAGTAATGCATTTTCACTTAATTAGGAGCAGAGAATTAAAACACAGTAAACTTGGCTAGACCGAGATCCTGATGTGAAGTGGGTGGAAGTATCAGGTATGAAGGATTCTCCCACCCACTGTAAGAAACTGGTGTAAAACCAATCATTGATCAATTCCAGGATTCAAAGCAGTTATAGCTACAGTCAGCTCTACATCCTTTTCTCACTTTCTGGATCAATGTTGATAGAATTTGAAAAATGCTACAATATTTGCTGAATGCAGTTATTGGACTAAGTTGTCTGTGGTCCTCAGTCCAGTTTTGTATATAACCATAGCGATTTCAATCCTTGAGAATAGCTGTGGTTCTGGCAGAATCAATATCAGGACCATTATTTGCGCTCATAGGATGTTTAGCCTGACGCCTGCCTCTGGTAAGTGCAAGTGGCATTTTAGCTTAACATTCTTTTCTCTTCAGTTTCTCATTTAGATAATTGTTTGGGGAAGACAAGTTTGCAGGGCTATGGGGAGAGCGCGGGGGAGTGGGATTGATTTGGAAGCTCTTTTCAAAGACCTGGCAGAGACACGATGGGCCGAATGGCCTCTTTCTCTGCAGTATAGTTCTATGATTCTATGATATCCTCATTTGATGCTTTTTGCCTTTTGATTGCTCAAAAATAGATATTTCTTTACCTGAAAAGTCTGCATGTTCACATGGAAGATTGATTTTTATGAAGGGTTCAAAGACAACAGAAGGTACCATCATAGCACCATTGGAATGTGGCTTCACATTTAGTAGAAATGTCTGCTCTGCAGGTGCTGATTTCCTGGGCTGATTGTATAAAGGATGATTGCTGCTCCTAATGCAGACACAGAGCTGGTGATGCCAAACCAATCAGCGTTAGTGTCAGTCTTTTCAAACTTCATGACTAATCAGAACATTTCCTGAGAGCCGGACGGCGTCTCAGAGCGCTTCACAATAACGGATCCTGGGAACCGAGCCAGGGGGTGGGGGGGCAGGAGCCGGGGGAGGGAGGGTGGGGGAAGGTGACCAAAGGCACGGTCGAAAAGAAAGGTCTTTAGCCGAGATCTGAAAGTAGAAAGAGAGGGGGTGAGGCGAAGGGAGTGAGGAATGGAGTTCCAGAGCCTCGGGGCATAGTGTCTGAAGGCCCGGCTTCCGATGGTGGAGTGGAGTACTCGGGACGAGGAGGAGGCCAGATCCAGTGGAGTGAAGGTGCTGTTGTGAGGAGAGATGAGGTCAGAGAGGTCGGGGGGGCAGAGGAGTGGAGGGATTTGAAGACAAGGGTGAGGATCCTGAAATCGATCCTCTCTGGGACAAGCAGCCAGTGCAGTCTGGCCAGGACTGGGGGGATCGGGGAATGGAGTTTGGGGGACGGGGGGAGGTCCAGGACTGGGGTGATTGGGGAGAGGGGTTTGGAGGACGGGGGGAGGTCCAGGACTGGGGTGATTGGGGAGAGGGGTTTGGGGGGAGGGCCAGAACTGGGGGGATTGGGGAGTGGAGTTTTGGGGTGGGGGGGAGGGCCAGGACTGGGGTGATCAGGGAATGGAGTTTGGGGGACGGGGGGAGGTCCAGGACTGGGGTGATTGGGGAGAGGGGTTTGGGGGGGAGGGCCAGAACTGGGGGGATTGGGGAGTGGAGTTTGGGGGAGGGCCAGGACTGGGGAGATCGGGGAGAGGGATTTGGGGGTGGGGGGGAGGGCCGGGACTGGGGGGATCGGGAAGTGGGGTTTGGGGGTGGGGGGGAGGGTCAGGACTGGGGGATCGGGGAGTGGAGTTTGGGGGTGGGGGGAGGGCCAGGACTGGGGTGATTGGGGAGAGGGGTTTGGGGGGGGGGGGGAGGGCCAGGACTGGGGTGATTGGGGAGAGGGGTTTGGGGGGGGGGAAGTGGGGTTTGGGGGTGGGGGGGAGGGTCAGGACTGGGTGGAGCGGAGTTTGGTGCGGGTAAGAATGTGGGCGGCAGACTTGTGGATGACCTGGATTTTATGGATGGTAGTGGAGGGGAGACCGGCGAGGAGGGCGTTAGAGCAGTCCAGCCGAGAGGTGACAGAGGTATGGACCAGGGTTTCAGCGGCTTTTGGGGTGAGATATTGGCGGAGACGGGCGACCACGCTATCCTCCTCCACCGCTTGTCCTCCCACCTAAACCTTCAAGGCCCTGTCCTTGAATGGTTTAGGTCGTACCTCTCTCACCGTCTTCATTTTGTCTCCATGAATGGTTTTTCCTCCACCCCCCCGCAATGTCTCGTGCGGTGTCCCTCAAGGCTCTGTCCTCGGTCCCCTCCTCTTCACCCTCTATATGCTCCCCCTGTGGTGACATCATCCGCAGACATGGAGTTAACTCCCACATGTATGCGGATGACACCCAACTCTACCTTTCCTCCTCTACCCTCAACTCCACGACCCCCGATGTCCTGACAGCTGTCTGTCCGACATCGAGTCCTGGACGAGAGACAACTTTCTTCAGCTCAACGTGCGCAAAACTGAGGCCCTCCTGATTGGCTCACGTCAGCGCCTCCGCACCTCAGGCTCTGACAGCATCAGCATCCAAGGCCGCACTCTCCACCTCTCAAAGCCGGTCAGGAACCTCGGGGTTCTGTTCGACCCTGAACTGTCCTTTCTCCCTCATATCCGCGCCACAACTGGCACCGCCTTCCATCACCTTCGGAACATCGCCAGACTACGGCACTACCTCACCCCTCACGCGGCTGAAACTCTGGTCCACGCCTTTGTCACCTCAAGGCTGGACTATGGGAACTCTCTCCTCGCCGGCCTTCCCGGCCCTCCCTCCACACTGCAGGTCATTCAGAACTCTGCAGCTCATGTACTGTCCCGCACCAGGCTTCGTGCCCACATCACTCCCACCCTCGCTCTCGCCCTCACCCTCGCCCTCGCTCGCCTCCACTGGCTGCCCATCCCCCAGAGGATCGAATTCAAGATCCTCATCCTCACCTACAAGGCCATTCACGGCCTCGCTCCCTCCTACCTCTCCGACCTACTATCACCCTACCTACCTGCCCGTACCCTCCGTTCCTCTGGCTCCGGTCTGCTCCACATCCCCCGCCCCAACCGCCCTACCATCGGTGGTCGGGCCTTCAGTCTCTCAGCCCCGAGGCTCTGGAACTCCATCCCCCAGTGCCTTCGCCACTTCCTCCCTTTCCTCCTTCAAAGCCGGTCTCAAGACCTTACTCTTTGACTGCGCCTTCAGCTCCCCTCTCGACTCTCTACCCCCTCCTCGCTCCCTCCCTTCCCTCCCCTCACCCTGACCATTTCCCCCCTCCTCGCTCCCTCCCTCCCCTCCTCTCACCCTGACCATTTCCCCCCCCCCCCCCCCCCCAATGCTCGAGTCCTGACCCAACTGTACAGCGCCTTGGGACATCCTCCCGACGTGAAAGGCGCTCAATAAATGGAATCTTGTTGTTGTTGTTGTGATGCGTCGGAGGTGGACGTGAGCGGTGCTGGTGAGGGACCGGATGTGGGGAAGGAAGGAAAATTGGGGGTTGAACCTGAAGCCTGGGTTGCGTACGGGTTCGGAGAGTTTTAGGGGGTGGTCGGGTAGGTAGAGGAGCTGAGAACCATGTGATGTTAGACGTTGACGAGAGCCAAAGAGTATGGGTTCCGTCTTGTCAACGTTTAGCTGAAGGAAATTCACGCCCATCCAGCTCCTGAGGTCTGACAGGCAGCTGACAGAACATCAGGGGACTGGGGAAAAATAGAGTTGGGTGTCATCCGCATACATGTAGAAGTGTACCCCATGTCTGCGGATGACATCCCCAAGAGGAAGCATATAGATTAGGAAGAGGAGGGGCCAAGGATGGATCCTTGGGGGTATCCTGTAGATAACCGGGTGAGAGCGGGAGTGAATACGTTTCATCATTGAATATTTCTTGATTTATGGCCACACCATAAATATCTCTAGTCAGTAGCTACTAGAAACAAAAAATATTGATTTAACACAGACCTGTCTCGACTAGTGCGAGTGTTGGGTGGGCCACGTTTAGCCACAGGTCATGGGTTGGCCACCGCTGCTATGGGCAGTATCTGCACTGAATGCAATTTTGCCAGTGCATTGCCAGTCAACACTCACAAAGTCTGAATGTGACTGAATTAAACTGAAGATCCTGCTGATTTCCTTTAGGTTTCTGTTGACCCTGGAGCGATTTGTGGGGGATGGGGGGGAGGCGACTGTTGTGGGATGTGTGATCGAGGTTTGCACTTGTTCCTGGAGGCAAGATGACCCTAAAGGAGCTGAGCTCAGCTTCTCTGCTGCCTCTGAACACCAGCTGAATGTATTGGATGTTTCAGGTCAGCTTATGACGCTGTGTGAGAGTGCAGGTCCTGGGCTCTGGGTTCAGTGCCGCCCAATTGCTTGGCTTTTGTTGCGGGAACTTAGCCTCTTACCCCAGCCCCTAACTCTGTATACATTATCTTTCAGACTCTGAGCTGAGACTTTATGCAACAATGTTGAGTGAGGAGCGCAGGACTGGAGGACATGGTCCCTCCTGGCTGCAGGACAGGAAACCAGCAAATCGGGCCATCTCTGTCCCCTTCTCTGAGCAGCAGGAGGTGGGCAGGGAAGCTGGTGCTGAGGTAGGGATGTGACTGAATCTCTTCCTTAACTTGATCTTCAGTCCTGGGCATGTCATGGATTCAGTGCAGCTGAACACTCCAAACCAGATCCTGGAAACTTGGCTCAGGCTTCTACGTGGAGTCCCGTAGCTCAGTGGTTAGAGCACTCGCTTTGCAAGCGCGAGACCTGAGTTCAATTCCAGGCAGAGGGCGAAACCTTGGGCAAGTTTCCTTACTCCACACAGAGCCTAATAATAATCCCTCCAAAATCAAAAACAATAATAAAAATTGGTCACTTTCAATCTACGACTGTTTGTGGGACATTGCTGTGCGCAATTGGCTGCCGCGTTCGCCCACAAATATACAGTCAATTCACTTTACAGTGTGTTCTGTGAAGCGCTTTGGGACATCCTCCCGACCGTGAAAAGCGCTATATCAAATGCAAGGATTATTATTATTATAGAGGTGCGGTGCGCTGTTCATTCATGGTCACTCTTTTTCCAGCTGCTGAGACCAGTTTTTTTCAAAAGTGTCAGTATGCCGGAGGCAACAACACGAGTGGCCAAGCAACTGTCGGTGAGGAAACAGCCTGGGTTTCAGCGACAGACTTCAATCTCTCAAAGTATTCGCAGGTGATTCTCTCTCTAAGTCTGATCTGTTTTGGGCTACATAGTTTAAATATAATATACAATTGCATTTCCATGAGCACATTGTTCGATCAGTAAATCTCTTGGGGTTGAAACTGGGCACATGTGTGCGCAGAGGACTGTGCATTACTGCCAGGATGCAGAGCTGTTTCCACTGTTGTGTGCAGCCACATCGATGTGCATGGATTATTCTGATGTGAGATGTCCTTTTTATCTGGTGTGTATTGTTCTTCCTCCTTTGCTGTATTCATCATGACACTCTAACTTCCAAAGGATTCTCTCTGTGTACCCTTAGTGTGACCACCCAGAGCTTTACATAATGCTTTGAAGTATAACTTTCTCTTTGATGCCTTGTATTTTGCTGCCTTTATATCAGTCTTATATTGAAATAGAAAATCATTTCTGCTTTGCAAATCACTGAACTCTCGTTCTTTGTATTGGAAGATGGAGCAGAAGAAGAAATTACTCCATCGGTTCCTCTCCCCACCCTGTATCTCGTCCGCCACCTCCCCCCACCACCCCCCCGCATCCTGATGAGTTTGTCCCCTCCCCCACCACCGTGTGTCTATCCTTGAGAGGACGTGAATTTAAAATGGGTAGATACATATACATGGTAGATACACTACATACATACACTACATCTAGCTCACAGTATTCACCCACACATCTCTCCTGGCTCTGCCCACTCAGTCGCTTGCTAAGGGGGTTGAAAAATTAGATAAAAACATGACCTATATTCGAATGAGACTCAAACTAAGGTCAAGGATGCCTGGTTGGGCGGATGTTACAGATCCTGTAGCACTATTCGAAATGAGAAGGGGATGTCTCCGTGCCCATCACAACAACTCCCTTCAAATAAAATTAATCATTTGTTTCATGGCTGTTTTGGGGATGTTGCTGTATGCAAAGGTTTCATCCAAAAAATACACAGTCAATCGATTTTACGGCCTATCTATCCTGTGAAATGCTTTGAGACATCTTGGCAATGTGATAAGGCGCAAATGCATCAAATGCAAGGATTATTATATTAGAACCTGCAACTAGTTCGCTCTGGAATTATCTAGGTAGGGTGTGTCACTCCAGGGAGAGTGAGTATTTGATTCCAGATAGGAGAAAATTTTCCTGCATGGGTGGTGTACATATGTGGAGCTTTAGATTCAGATACTCTTAAACAGGTAATGGGTTTCTGTATGTGTCCAAGACCATGTGACTAAAACAAAGCATGGAGAGACTGAGGGGAGGAAGTCAGAGGAGGAAGTCTGTCTGTCCGACATCGAGTCCTGGACGAGAGACAACTTTCTTCAGCTCAACGTGCGCAAAACTGAGGCCCTCCTGATTGGCTCACGTCAGCGCCTCCGCACCTCAGGTGCTGACAGCATCAGCATCCAAGGCTGCACTCTCCACCTCTCAAAGCCATCAGGAACCTCGGGGTTCTGTTCGACCCTGAGCTGTCCTTTCTCCCTCATATCCGCACCACAACTGGCACCGCCTTCCATCACCTCCGGAATGTCGCCAGACTACGGCACTACCTCACCCCTCACGCGGCTGAAACTCTGGTCCACACCTTTATCACCTCAAGGCCGGACTATGGGAACTCTCTCCTCGCCGGCCTTCCCGGCCCTCCCTCCGCACTGCAGGTCATTCAGAACTCTGCAGCTCGTGTACTGTCCCGCACCAGACACCGCGACCACATCACTCCCACCCTCACCCTCACCCTCGCCCTCGCTCGCCTCCACTGGCTCCCAATCCCCCAGAGGATCGAATTCAAGATCCTCACCCTCACCTACAAGGCCATTCACGGCCTCGCTCCCTCCTCCCTCTCTGACCTACTATCCCCCTACCTACCTGCCCGTACCCTCCGTTCCTCTGGCTCCGGTCTGCTCCACATCCCCCGCCCCAACCGCCCTACCATCGGTGGCCGGGCCTTCAGCCTCTCAGCCCCGAGGCTCTGGAACTCTATCCCCCAGTGCCTTTGCCACTTCCTCCCTTTCCTCCTTCAAGGCCGGTCTCAAGACCTTTCTCTTCGACCGTACCTTCAGCTCCCCTCTCGACTCTCTTCCCCCTCCTCGCTCCCTCCCTTCCCTCCCCTCACCCTGACCATTTCCCCCCTCCTCGCTCCCTCCCTTCCCTCCCCTCTCCCTGACCATTTCCCCCCTCCTCGCTCCCTCCCTTCTCTCCCTGACCATTTCCCCCCTCCTCGCTCCATTCCTTCCCTCCCCTCACCCTGACCATTTTCCCCCCTCCTCGCTCCCTCCCTCCCCTCACCCTGACTATTTCTCCCCCCAATGCTCGGGTCCTGACCCAACTGTCGGGCGCCTTGGGACGTCCTCCCGACGTGAAAGGTGTCCTATAAATGGAATCTTGTTGTTGTTGCTGTATAGCTTGAAATTAACCTGTTGTAAGATGTGTAAGTGTCTGATATCACTTCATTGCTGTACATTTCATAATTGATAGTTGGGAGATTCTGGAATAAAAACAGCTTCACGCAGTTTTGTTTTAGGCAGAAATGACTACTCTTCCAGCTGGGGTGGTATCCAATGCAGCTCCATATCCCAGACAGTTACATGTTATCTGGTGAGAGTCGGTGCATAACTGCATTCTGTGCTCTTGTGATAGGGAGACAGCACAATGGTTTGGAGTAGCAAGCAATGGTGAATTAAAGCATCAAGAGTGGCAGCGGAAGAGCTGGCAGCACTGTAGCAACAGGTTCGGCAAGCTGAAAGCTCAGTATCTGAAGGACATAGAGCTGCCCAGTCAGGAGGCCACCTCGTTTGCAGGAATGGAATCTCCAGGTCCATACAAACTGCCAAAGGTAAGCTCTCCTGGGAGTCACGGTCCCTGGTTGTGTATCTCTTTACCAGTGCTTGAACTGCAAGCTTTGGGTTCAGACCATTAAAGAATTGGTTTTTTAGAAGAATAAGAGGAATTTGTAAGGAATTAGATAGAGGGTTGTTGAGGATGTAGAATTGATTACAAGCTCCAATTGAAGTTGAATGGATAGATTACTGGATAAAGACCTGAGCAGTAATCATACTGATAATTAAAAACATTAAAAACATTAAGGGATATTGGAAAAAATATGAAGATGAATAATAAAGGCAAACAAGAGACACAATGGACTGAATAGCCTCTTTTTCTGAAGATTTCTGATTGTACGAGGGTATCTGGGGAGAGGTTGCTGGTTTGGGAGGGATTCAGTCATTGGGAACTTTCACATTGAGCCTTTTACTGTCTCAGATTCTGGACCCTTTAGCACGACATCGAGCATTCCAATACCCTGGTGATGCTGACCACCCACGCACCCCTCACCTGATCCACGCAGTCACCCCAGATGGTGCTTCACTCACCTCCTTTACCAGCTCCCCATCTGGGGGGTTTCGCCCCCGGAAACGCGAATCAGTCGCCCGCATGAGTCTGCGAGCAGCAACGGCTTTCATACAGGTGCGCTTTGTGCGTCTGTTTGACGGGGAGGGGGGAGACGGGGGAAGGGGATGGGGATGAAGTGTATGTGTATCCGTGTGCACTTGCGTGCGAGTGCAAGTGTGTAGCACGTGAGAGAACATGAGTGTGTGAATCTGTGCATTTGCGTTAGTGAGAGAATGTGAGCAAGTGAGTGTATTTTTGTGTGTGGGCTAGTGTGTGTGGGCTAGTATGTGTGTGCCAGTGCGCTTCTGTGGGTGTGTGTGAATGTGTGAGTGGATATGTGAGTGAGTGTGTTTGTATGTGCGTGTGTGAATGTAGGTGTGTGATTTTGAGTGTGTGAGAGTGTTTGTGAATATCTGTGTGCGAGCAAGTGTTGAGCGACTGCGGGTGAAGATGTGAGTGTGCGTGGGGGGGGGTGGGTGATGGGGCTGTGGGTGTGTGAATGGTGTGTGATTTCCATCGTGTTGCCAGGGCCAGCCAGTTCTGAGAAACACCTTACCACAGCGTGGAATCAGGAGAAGCTTTGTCCTTCACGGCTGTTTTGAGGATATGGAAGGTCTGGGTTCTGTGGCCTCCTCGTTCTTCACTAAGGTGAGCACCATTCTCAAATCTCTTGCTGATCCACTCAGTATCTGTGGAACAAATATGAAGATTTACAAGCAGAATACTGTTTGAGCTGCTCTTATCTTTGGCAGATTGATGGTCAGGATGAAATATACTCGATGCCGGATGATGTGTTCGAATCGCCCCCTCTCTCCGCCTCGTACGGCATCAATGCTGGTGTCTTGGGGATTGACACCCAACTTGCTGACCAGCTGCAGCCTCCATTGTGCGTTTAAAAAAATAAAATAAATAAATAATATTTTTCAGGTGCTGATGGTCACTAATTAGCAAATGTGAGGACTATTGGGATTCGTTCACATGATAAAGAAAAGGGGTAGAAAAGAACAAGATAATAATGTATCCTGATCAGGGATTTTGCTATGTGTTGACTTTAATGCGAGAAGGGAATTTCTAGGATTGTTCCAGACAGTAATCCCAAGATAAAATTATTTGTATTATGTTTGTTTCTGAGATGTTGCTGTGGGCATATTTGATTTGATTGCGTGGATAAAGTTTAGATTTACGCAGCCATAGACATTTTATGCAGTACCTAGAAAATACACATCAAGGCACTCCAGAAAAATACTGTGAAGCACTTTGAGACATTTCAATGATGTGTTAAGGTGTTGTATCAAATGCAAAATTTATTATTTCACATTGCAAATGCATAATGAAAGGATCACAAGTTTTAGCTGCCAGTGTATGGTGGAGTGGTCATCGGACATGGCCTCAGATTGGGATAATGGTTGGGATAACATGTGGTAGGGAGTGTGGGGGAGAGGGTGTGGGGGCGGGGGTGTGGGGGAGTGGTAGAAAGTGGTTACTTTCCAGAACTGTTCAATACTCTGCTTAGCTGTTTGTTTAAATTGACATTTAAATGCAGTGGAAACAATCTAATATTGAAGTGCAGTGGCTGTTCCAATTCAGTAAAGTTTGTCTTTTTTTCTTTTCCTGCTGTGCTTCTAGTAAAGAGATGGTGAAACTTCACACCTTGGCAGCAGTGCCCAAGAGAGGCCATCGCATCACCTCCCAAGTCAGAAACTTTGCATTTGATAAGAAGAGACGACAGTACGGGCTCGGGGTGGTGGGCAAGTGGCTGAATAGGAACTACAGACAGAGGCTCAGCAGCAGCATCCAGAGAAAACTGGCGGATGTGAGCAGTCACAGGTACACAACAACATCAACAACTTACACTTGTAGAGTGCCCTTCACATCGGAAAGACGTCCCAGATTACTGAACTTCCTGCTTCTGTACTAGTGAGCTCAATACAGCACCACAGATGAAAATAGCACCAGATTTATATATATATATACACACACACACACACAGCATTGTTCTTCAATGGCCTGTGGTGCCTGTGGCCAGCAGCTGAAGAACAATGTTGTGTGTGTGTGATTCTGGTGCTATTTTCATCCGTGTAACAGATGTTTCAACTCATTGTTTATCTAATACTATGTACAAATTATTTTTCTTCAGGCCTTACTTCACCTACTGGATCACAATGGTGCATATTGTGATCACACTGTTGTCCATCGCTACATACGGAATCGCTCCGATTGGATTTGCACAACATACAGCTACAAAACTGGTCAGTTTCTCTGGATTAATGAGAGCATCTGAAATGTGAATTGTGGGGGCTAATTGATGTGGATACCATGGGGTAAGCTGGCACGCAAATTGTCATTCTGCAAAATACTGGACCCTGTGTCTTGGGGGTGGGAGGGGGTGAGGGCAGTGGGTAACCCCATGTCTTTATGGAGGTCATCTATGTCTTTATTTTAGTATAAGCATGATGGATATGTGAAAAGGCTGTCAGTACAGGTGGTGGGACAATAAACTATTTAGCTTCAAACAGAAATTAGACAATTTCTGGAAATCAAAAGGATTCAACAACAACCACAAAACTAAATGTGTATAGCGCCTTTCTCATCAGGAGGAAGTCCCAAGGCACTGGACAATAAGTGTTTTGACCCAAGCTGGAGGTTGGAATCGGAGAGGGTGGAGAGCAGGGGGGGGAAAAGGAGGGTGACTGAAGGCATGGTCGAAGAAGAGGGTCTGGAGATGGGACTTGAAGGAGGCAAGGAAGGGGGCAAGTCGGAGAGGGATGCCGAGGTGGCGTTCCAGAAGGTGGGGGTAAAGTGGCCTGGCCGACAATGGTGGGGTGGGTGAGGTAGGAGATGTGAAGCAGGCCAGAGCCCGCTGAGCGGAGGGAGCGAGCAGGGGTTAGGAGATCGGAGCAGTCGGGGGGGAGCAAGACCATGGAGGGCTTTGATGGTGAGGACCAGGATCTTGAACTGTATCCTCTGTGAGATGGAAAGCCAGTGGAGTCGGGGGAGGATGGGGGTGATAGGGTCACGGAGCCTGGTGCAGGAGAGGACACGGGCTGCAGAGTTCTGGATGATCTGCATAAGTTTGCATAGTTAAGCCTGGATGTTATGAATGTGTCTATGAGGGTCTCGATGGCCTGCGGTGTGAGACAGTGGTGGAGTCGGGTGATGTTGCGGAGGTGGGGAAAGGCAGAGCAGGTCATGGTGCAGATGTGGGGTAGAAAGGATAGTTGACAGTCAAACAAGACCCCAAGGTTCCGGACTGGCTTAGCAAAGGGGAGTGAGCCCCATGATGGTGATGCTGTCAGCGCCTGAGGTGAGGAGGCGCTGACGGGAGCCAATCAGGAGCTCAGTCTTGAAGAAAGTTCGCTCTCATCCAGGGCTTGATATCTAACAGACATTCTGTCAGGACCCCAGTGGGTCCTGGAGTCGAGGGTGGGGGCAGAGAGAGAGCGCTGGGTGTCATCCGCATACATGTGGAAGTTGACCTGGTGTCTGCGGATGATGTCACCAAGAGGGAGCATAAACAGCAACAAGATTACATTTGTATAGCGCTTTTTACGTCCGGGGGAGGTCCCAAGGCACTGTACAGCATTTCAGACCCGAGCTGGGGTCGGGGGGGAGGGGAGGGGAAGGGGGGTGACCGATGGCATGGTCTAAGAGGAGGACCTTGAGGCGGGACTTGAAGAAGGCTAAGGAGGGGGCGAGGCGGAGTGATTGGGGGATGGAATTCCAAAGGTTGGGGGCAGAGTGGCTGAAGGCTCTTCCGCCAAAAGTGGGGCGGGTGGGTCGGGGGACGTGGAGCAGTCAGAGCCAGCTGAGTGGATGGAACAGGCCGGTTGGTAGGGGGTTAGGAAGTCGCAGAGGTAGGGTGGGCTGAGGCCATGGAGGGCTTTGTATGTGAGGACCAGGATCTTGAACTGGATCCTCTGAACGATAGGGAGTCAGGGGAGAGTGGGGGAAATGGGGTCACGGAGTTTGGTGCGGGAGAGGACACGGGCTGCAGAGTTCTGGATTATCTGCAGCCTGTGGAGGGAGGACTTGGGAAGGCCGACAAGCAGATTTAATAAAGATATTGAAGAGGACGGGACCAAGGACCGAGCCCTGAGGAACGCCACACGAGACGGTTTGGGGGCTAGAAGAGAAGCCGTTTGAGGATATGAAGTGGAAACAGTGTGAGAAGTACGATCTGAATAGTCAAGGACAGAGCCCTGAAGGTTGAGGTGAGAGGAGAGGCAGTGGATCAACGTAGTGGTCAATGGTATCAAAGGCAGCAGAGAGGTGAGGATGACGAGGAGGATGAGGAGGCAGAGGGAGCCCTGGTGCAGATGGACAGAATGTCACTGGTCACTTTGACCAGAGCTGTTTGTGTGCTGTGGGCGACACCGACACCTTATTGGAGGGGTTTGTGAGGGGAGAGTGGGAGAAGGAGAGAAGCCGGGAAGGAACAACTCATTCCAGGACCTTGAAAAGGAAGGGAGGTTGGAGATGAAGCAGTAGTTTGAGGACAGGAATGGGTCCAGGGAAGGTTTTTTAAAGGACCATTTTTAAAGGGGTGGAGGCAGTGGACAGGGAGAAGTTTATGATGTCAGTGACTAGAGGAACAAGGAGGTGGAGCTGGGAGGTAAGGAGAGGGGTAGGGCTGGGGTCGAGGGAGCAGGTGGTCAGTTTCATGCGGGTTAGAATGGTGGTGAGAGAGGAGGGGGAGACGGGTTTGAAGGTGTGGAGGGAGGAGGGATAGGGGCTGGGGTGGGAGGGGGAGGGGGTAGCAGATGGAATGGCAGAGGCAGCTGAGCGGATCCTCTCAACTTTGGATTCAAGAAGGTCCAGCATCGCCTCGCAGTTGACATTTGAGGTGAGGATGGGTGAGGCTTGAAAGGGTGGGCGGAGGAGCCGATTAGTGATGAAGAAGAGGAGCCTGAGGTTGTCCTTGGCTCCAACATTCTCTTGGAGTAGAACGACGATTTACCGGAGGCGAGGGCGGAGCAGTAAGATTTGATGATGTCCAACCAGATAATAATATAATCTGCTGAAGGACAGTTAAATTCGATTTGAGCCAGGTGCGTTCAGTGGCACGGACCTGTGCCTTGAGAGAGCGGAGGTGGCTGATGTACCACGATGATTCAGTGCAGTGTTGGAGGTCTTCACCCCATGTGAAGGGCGCTATATAAATGTAAGTTGTTGTTGTTGGAGGTAATCGGGGGACTGCCCCCTGCAGCCTATAGGTGTATTTATGGTGTCCTTTACTTCCTGCTCCATCTCATGAGGTTGTATGAGGCAGCGGGGAGAGTGACACTAATGACCAGCCCCCTTGCAAAATCTGACTCTGCCACTGATTGAGGGACATGAGGCGATGATTTGGGCCAATAGAAAAGTGCAGAAATATTTGCCGAAAATTGCAGGGCATTTGACAACTTTTGTGGAGGGTTTGATTAGTGCTATTGTGAGACGCATTTTGTGAAACAACCCAGATTAAAACTACAGGCGTATATTTCCTGATCATGTAGTTATGTTTAAAATACTAAAAAATTTAATTTCAATAGGACCGTCCTTACCAAGAGTTTATTGCTGTAATGTGACGCAGCTGCTTTTCAGAGATCAAAAACAACAACTTGCATTTATATCGCCCTCTTCATGTGGGGTAGAGACCCAGAGCGCTTCAAAGTGCCGGAGGTTTGATAACAAGCCGGGGGAGGGGGGAGCTGTAAGCACACTCAAAAAGGAAGGTCATTAAGTGGGATTTGAAGGTGGGGAGGGAGGGGGTGAGGCAGAGGGATTGAGGGAGAGAGTTCCAGAGTTTTGGGGCGCAGTGGCTGAAGGCACGGCCACTGATGGTGGAGCGGAGGGGACAAACAGGAGGCCGGAGCCAGCCGAGCGGAGGCAGTGGGTGGTGGAGTGGAGGGTAAGCAGGTCCAGAGGTGGGGAGGTGCGAGGGCTTGAAGGGATTTGAAAAGGAGTGAGAGGATCTTGAAATCGATTCATTCAGTAATTGGGAGCCAGTGGAGCCTGGCAAGGACTGCGGTGATGGGGGACACAGTTTTGTGCCGATGAGTATCCGGGCGGCGGAGTTTTGAATTATTTGAATTTTGTGTATGGTGGAGCTGAGGGGACCAGCGAGGAGGCCATTGGAATAGTCCAGTCGGGAAGTGACAAAGGCACGGACGAGGGGTTCGACTGCTTTGGTTGTGAACTCAGTTTAGGCCGGGGAAAGCTGATTTCCTGCTCGCACTGCTTCCATGATGCCAACACTCCCCCTCCCCCCTGACACTCCGACTCCACCCCGACACTCCCCCCACCACCGTTGTGTAGCGGGGCCTGGCTCACTGTGTGTACAGATGTGTCGTGGAGGAGGGTTTGTTGTGGATTCTGCTGAAAAAGTGAGGCTGCACTTTTCTATTGGCCCAGGTGTGCAGAAATGTTTTGGAATTCTCAATTTGGTGGGTTCCAGTTGTTGATTATATTGCAGTCTTTTGTCTTGGTTGAGATGCAGTAAAAGTGACGGTGACCAATGTATGTCTAAACTGAGAGATGATCTTCCTGCAGTATGTCAGCTTTAGATTTTCTCTAAAGATCTTGTACCGTGCATATGTGAGATTGAGTAAGAAGACATGGTTGCTCACATGTGGAGAGAAGATGTTATAATGAGTATTTGATGGTGGATTTGATCTAAAGTTGGTGGATGTCTGTGGAAACATTTAAACCAATGGTGATTTCCTGTGGCAACACCAGGTAATGCAGGTGCCCTGTGAACTGGAGCTCCCTGTGGGAGCAGTCGTGTTGGCTGGGGTTACTGAGTGATCCCTGGGAGCTCTACCCTGGCTGTCTGGGTCCACACTCTCTGTACCTTAATCACATTCCCTTTATTCACTCAACTAAAATCAAGACTGAAATAAAAAAAAGATGTAAAATAAAAATAGAAATTTTTGCCAAGACTCAGCCCGTACCCTGTGGAACTCCATCCCACATTCCCTTCATCTCGCTCCTTCCCTCATCTCCTTTAAGGCATGTCTCAAAATCCTCCTCTTCGACTGAGCCTTTGGGCACCCTGCCCCCCATCCTCCCCGATCCCCAGCTCAGGTGCAAATTCCTGAGTGTCCAGCACCTTGGGGTGTCCTCCTGACGTGTAAGACAATATACAAATGTAATTTTGTATTATATTTTAATCCCTTCATTTGATGAGACATCTCAATGATGTGATAAGGCGCTCTACGTTTCACGGAATATACTGTAAAGTGAATTGACTGTATTTTCTCCCTTTAATCAATGTGTGATGTTTCTCTGTAAGTTTAATTATTATATTCTAAATGTTTGAAAATGTGGCTTCATTTTCCTGAAGTCTTTACCGGCTTTCTTGTTGGCTGAAAGTTGGCATTATAGAATGTCCTCAGCCAATAAAACAGCTGAAGATCTGAAGATTGTCTGGACGACTCGTCGAGTGGGAACTTTTAATTATTTATAGTGAGATCATTCATATGAATAATCAATAAATGAGGTTAGCTGAAGGGATACAATGAGGCAAGGGTAAGAACAATTTCCTCACCAATAGGAGGCAGAAAGCAAGTGGTGTATAGACTTGGATTTAGTGTTTAATAAACCATTGCAACACTATTTAATCTAATTCCTTTTTCAGGTGCTGAGGAATAAAGGTGTGTATGAGAGTGTTGAAAATGTGCAGCAGGAAAACTTCTGGATAGGACCTAGTTCAGTAAGTGTAAAATAAGGTGTAGACATTTTAGACTTGCACCAGATGGGAAGTTGCTGGCCTGTAATTCCCAGACTGTTAATTGCAGGATGCTCTGATTCACCTCGGAGCCAAGTTTTCTCCTTGCTTAAGGAGGGATCATTTCATCGCTAATCTTATTGAAGAGGAGATGAGACGTGAACGTAACTCTGGCTGCTGTATTCAGAATGATGGCTCTGGGTGTGTACAAACTTTAAAGGAAGATTGTTCGGTACGTATCTCGCCAGGACACACTGCCCTTTATGGGTAAGCCTTCTCATTCACTAACAGATTTCAGCAATGGAATTGCTGCTCGCTTACTGACCTGTCTTGTGTGTATTTAGAAAAGGCATCCGTTTGAGTGAGAAAATCTAGTGAAATAGTATTTGCTCTCTGTGTGGTAACTTGCTGTACAAAGCAGTGCATCAATTTCAATGTTATGTTTAAACCTCTGACAGTTCCTGTTTCTAAATACAGGAAACGCTCGCTACCTTTGTAAAGTGGCCAGACAGTGAGGCACTGGACAAAGCCTCCAGCAATGAGACAAGATCGTCAGGAGCTGTTTGTCACCAGGATCCAAGGCATGTGAATCATGAGATCTCCACGGTCTTGCACCATCCTACCATTGTGACCTTCTAAGACCCTACCAGCCCGCCTGCTGCTTCCACTTGGCAGGCACTGGCTTAGTTCATGTTCCTCGCCCTGCCCACCTCACCTTCAATGAAAGGCCTTTTTGTTCCCTCTCTCTGGAATTCTATTCCAAAGTCCCATCACCTCGCTCCTTCCTTCTCCTCCTCCAGGGTCCTTTTCAGGTCCCTCCTCTTTAACTGTCCCTTTGGTCATTCTCCTAGCCCCTTGGCCCCCACCCCTCCCAAAACCAATCCCCAGCTTGGATGCAAACCCTCCACTGTCCAATGTCTTGGGAGATCCTCCTGATGTGAAAGCTGCAATATAAATGCAATTTGTTGTTGTTTCTAGTGGTACTTAGTACACCAGGCAACCCCATATAATGTAGTGTCATAGCTCCACGCAATCCAACACTGTTATAATGAGTCTGTGAAAACAATGGCAGACTGAGATAGATAGATTTCTTATTGCAAAAGGGATTAAGGGATATGGGGATAAGGCAGGGTCAGGCTATTAGCTGGAGTTAGATTAGAAGATCAGCCATGATTGAATGGTGGGGCAGGCTCGAACGGCCGAATGGCCTACTCCTGCTCCTACATGCTATGTTAATGGCAGACATTCTTGCTTCCGGTGTGTCAGATCACAGCTGATCTCACTTCCTGTGCATTTGGTACTAAGTATAAAAAGTGTTGCATGTGCGGTGTGCATGATGTAAGGTTCTCAACACTCAATGTGGAAAAAAAACCTCTTTTATCTTTTATTCTCAGCTCACAAGTTACAAACAATCCGACCAAAACCCCCCTGTCCAGCCCTCCTTGTTTCCTATTTCTCTACCTCAAGATCCCCTTTTCATTGGTCCTACTTCATTGGTCCTTATTTTCTTAAAGAATCCAACACATGAATTTATGCTCATGAATTCCTCACTGCATTGTTTCAGCAACAGAATTGCTGGCTATTCCACATTCAAAGCCAGCTATACTTCCGGTAAAATTATATTTGTGATTACAAACCCACCCTCACCTGGGGTGCATTTGCAGTACTTGCTACTTAACTGTATGTTTCAAGGAGTAGGAATTGTCAGCTTTGCTTATAATAATAATAACATAGCTGTACAATATTCTCAGACATGCTCATCGTTTTGGAAATTATCTTTCAAGAATTTTAATATTGAAGACGAATTTAGGTCAGTTTGTTTAATGAACTGTGTTTGTGCAGAACCTGTGAGGAGCCGGGATCTGCTGCTCCCCATGTGTGGGAGGATGACATCACCAGATGGCCTGTGAGTGTTCCACACTCTTATGTTTCAGGGGAATGGGGAATAATTCTTGTGAGAAAGTTGTTTGTCTTGGATGGGGCGGGGTGGGGGGCGCGGGTGGGAGAGTGGGTGGGGGGGGAAGCGGGTGGGAGAGTGGGTGGGGGGGGAAGCGGGTGGGAGAGCGGGTGGGGGGGGAGCGGGTGGGGGGGGAGCGGGTGGGGGGGGAGCGGGTGGGGGGGGGAGCGGGTGGGATGGGAAGAGCTGGGGAGGTTTTGGGGAGACTTGTACTCTGATTGGAGAAGCACCTGTGCAAAACTCCTCATATTTCAGGTCAGTCCCATTATTAAATAATAAATAGTTCCTGATGAGAACATTCTTCTTGAAGTAATGGAGTGAATCAGACCTTTGATGTTTGATTATTGAATGATGTTCCTGAAACATTCTCAGTGATCAGTGACAAACTCATTCTTCTCTTCAGATCTGCACCGACCAACGAAAGAACAACCACACAGGGCTGAGACACATGGACTGCGCTATCAAGGGACGGCCATGCTGCATTGGGACCAAGGGGAGGTGTGTGCCCTGGGAGGTCGTCCTGGGGTGTGTGTGGGGGGAGGGAATCCCAGGGTATGTAGTGGGGGGGCTTAATCTCCTCAAACCTGGTGAGTGGAACCTGAAATATACGCACTCTTATTATAGCTAAACCTTCATCTCTGATATTACAAAGATTACAACAAATGTACAGCACGGAATTGGGCCACTCAGCCTAACCTATCTGTGCCGGTTCAGTGAATCATTGCTGGATGAACCTCAAGTCTAGTTCATCCTTCTTAAGGCACCGAAAACTGAACACAATACTCCAAGTGCAGTCTGACCAAGCTCTCTTCCTGCAGAACCACATCACTTGTTGCAAAGTCTAATATCCCATCAGCCTTATTGTTTGCTTTCTGCACTTGTGAAATAGATTTTAATCATTTATGCACTTGGATTGCCAAATCTTTGTTTATGTACCTATGCGAGTTCTTCCTCATTTACAATGTATATTGCATATGCTTCCAGTTAAAGGTTAATTTTATTTGCTTTGTTTTTTGCAGATGTGCAATTACTACCCGAGAATACTGTGAGTTTCAGAATGGTTATTTCCATGAGGAGGCCACTTTGTGCTCACAGGTATGCAGCGTCCCATTAAGCTTATTAATACACAATTACACCTGAGCATCTTTGAATGCTCAGAGTGCCTCCTCCGTGTGAAGGGCACTATTTAAAATAAACGTCAGATGTCACGTTGAAATGAGAAGCAGGAACACTTCCACCCAATGAAATATCTTTCCATCAGGAGCCGGAGAGACTTTGGCTGAGCTGCTGGCTCACTGCTGCTTCCTGTTTCTGTAGGTTTACTGTATGGACGAGGTATGTGGTTTGTTGCCATTCCTAAATCCAGATGTTCCGGATCAGTTTTACAGGCTCTGGCTGGCATTGTTCCTTCACGCTGGGTAAGAAATTAGTCAAAGCAATCTCGTTTCCAGCAGGACTCACCGCAAACCAAAGAGCGGAAATAGATTTTCCTTCATGAAATTGCTGGGGAGTAAAGTTGCAATGAGTGTCTCTGGAGCTGCTGCTCCAGCCTTCAGTGCCAGAAGCATTGTAAGACCTCAGAAGGTAATTTGTGAGTGGTTTGCCGATACAAGTTGTAGTAATGTTAGTTAGCAACTTAATAATAATAATACTTGTGTGTTAAACTGCTTTGAAGCTGAGTTTCTGCTTTTTACTTTGTACAGGATTATCCACTGTCTCATCTCTGTGGTTTTCCAGATGACTGTTCTTCGGGACCTTGAAAAATTAGCAGGATGGCTGCGCATTTCAGTGATTTACATTCTGAGTGGAGTTGTTGGTAATCTGGCCAGCGCCATCTTCCTGCCGTACAGAGCTGAGGTAGGTAGCTCAGGGATGTGAGGCCCTGTGCCTGGTGGACAGACACAGTATCCACTGCCTGGTGCTTAATGAAATGTTGAGATAATTGATTGTTCCATTGACTAGTATTTCTTGCTCTATGGATTTTATAAAAATATATTATATGCTAAACGTGAAGCATAACTTATTGGGAAAACAGAATTGTGTCCCTGGAAGAGGAGAAATAGGACTAGGAGTAAATCAATCTTGCTCTTCAGGCTTGCTGAGCCCACTCGAGGTGTCAACAATTGCCTCCTTGATCACTGAACTCATCCAGTAAACCAGGAACCCAATACCTACAGCCCCTCGGGTGCTAACCTTTACACACAATGCGCTCGGCCCCAGACCTCTCACGCTGTTTGCTCGATGCTGCTACCATGGCCAGAGCGGCTGCGATCGTTTATGCACAGCGCTGTGAATTTTGGGATCGCAGAAGTGGCGTGTGCGGGAAATAAACCTCGATAGGAAAAGCAGCTGTGTCACACACTACTGCAACACATTCTTGGTAAGTGCTGCACTATTTAATTCAAATACTTAGTATTTTAAACAACTACATTTTCAGGAAATGTATAGCTATAGTTCAATCCGGATTGTTTCTCTTTTTAGGTTGGAGAATACAAAAATGTCCCAATGTTTTTGTAAATCCTGTGAGGAAGCCAAGTGGCAGCACATCTCAATTTCTGTCTGTCCCTCAGATAGAACTGTACTCTATCCAGAAGACCTTACGAAGAAGGGGGGCAGGTGTTTTGCCACATTTGCTGCCACACAATTGACCACGTTCACAAGTTCACTGTTGATGAGCATATGAAACCTCAGGAACATTGGGATTGTAAGGCAGCAGCAATAAAGAAAAAACATGAAGGTAAAATACTTTTGATGTGTGTGTATATATATAGAATATTAAATGAAAATGTATCATTATTTGCTTTAATTTACAAAGAAAATCTTGATTTGTATGATTATAAATGTTAATCTCCTTCCTTTTTGATTGAATTTTAAAAGTACATAAACAACCATTGCAAAGAAAAACAAATAGACAGAACATTTCTAACAACAAATGCATCATGAAGATCAATTTTAATGTTTTCCTTTCTAGGTGGATCTGGACCTCAAAGACAACTTGGTCTGACAACCTGCATTAAAAGATAATAGAGCAGAAAATTGGGGAGAAGCCTCTTTGTATTGGAGTAGAATCAAACACCCCACTGTGTCACAAGCTCTTCTAAGAGTCTTAAATGTAAAACAAGTTAACTGTGATAAAGTGCTTGTCACAGACAGCGCAAGCTACATGAACAAAGCCAGTACTGTCGGGATTGTTTCTTCACACAATACATATTATATACATTGCCCATCTTCTGAACTTCATCTTGGAAATTTGACCTGTAATACTGGAGGACTTAAACACAGTGGAAGTCTTCTGCCAAAGTCCAATGCACTGGCATCAGTACTTGGAATTTATGGAGACAAAGGGTGGAATTAAACCACAAATGCCAGTCTTTGCTGTTCAGATGCGTTGTTGATCCTGGGTGAAGGCTGTTGAATATTTGTGTGAGTACTTGCCTGTCTTGGCAGAATTGCTTCAAGGAATGACATCCGAGGCCTTAGCCTCTGCAAAAAAACTGGAAATGCTCTTGAACAATAATGCTGCAGAGTTGCCAGCCCAAGCAACCTTTGTCACAGAGCATTCATCTGAGCTCCTAAACCTCACTGAAGAATGTCAGTGTACTTCCATCTGTACTTACGGGAGCAAAATTTATATTTGTTAATTGATTTCTCTGCCACTGCTGGAGCACAGGAGTACAGACCAAAGACAGTGAAAAGTTGGCAGCCTGTTCTGAGAGTGAGAGGCATGTGTCAGCCTTTTCCAGAGAATCATGCGAGACAGCAGTGAAAAGGTGGGACTGATTTTGAAAAAGCATCCGTTAATTGCTACCTATAAAGCAGTTCGTATTTTTGTTCCTCTCCAGCTAGCAACACTGGATGCAGAAAAACAAGAACAAAATTACATGTGTAAACTTGCTAAACTAGCAAAAAGTTACATTTGGCTAATAGTCAGCACAGCTGATATGGAAAGATCATTTTCTGCGTATTCAGATCTCCTCAAAGATAATAGACCAGGCCTAACAGAAGAAAATATAAAAATTCTTCTCATGTTAACATTTAACCAGTTCTAAACTTTTGGCTGAGAATTGTTTCTTTCTGTAAAAATTTGATTTTGAACATTTTAATTTCTCTGCAAACTGTGTTGAAACTGGACTTTTGCATCTTTTGAAAGGTGTTCTGTTCTGTTTTTGTTAAAGGAAACATTAATAAATTGTTTTTTTCAATGATCTATGATGTGTTATATCTTCATGTTAAGCTTTTAAAAGTGAGAAAAGAGAAAAAGTGCAGCAGCAAAATGCGTCTCAATAGCACCGATCAGCCTTCTGCCATTTCCTGCAAAATTTAGCAAATCTCTATTTTGGCAAATATTTCTGCACTTTTTGATTGGCACAGCCAATAACCCATCAAAATACAGGAGAGACAGCAGGTGGTTCCATCTCCAGAACTGTAGGATTCTCAGATTGAGCTGAACTAACTGTACTGAATATGGTCCAGCCTTTTCTGTTGTATATTTGTGGACTTCACAGAAAATTGAAGGACTTGGAGATGTTGAAGCATTTCCAAGATCCCGGAATGCATTGCCTGAAAGGCTGGTGGAAGCCGATTCGCTAACAACTTTTAAGAGAGAAGTACATAATTATTTTGGGAGGAAAAGTTTGCAGGGCAATGGAGAGAGAGCGGGGGAGTGGTGTTGATCAGGGCTATAGGGAGACCGCGGGGGAGTGGGGTTGATCAGGGCTATGGGGAGAGAGCGGGGGAGTGGGGTTGATCAGGGCTATGGGGAGACCGCGGGGGAGTGGGGTTGATCAGGGCTATGGGGAGACCGCGGGGGAGTGGGGTTGATCAGGGCTATGGGGAGAGAGCGGGGGAGTGGGGTTGATCAGGGCTATAGGGAGACCGCGGGGGAGTGGTGTTGATCAGGGCTATGGGGAGAAAGTGGGGGAGTGGGGTTGATCAGGGCTATGGGGAGACAGTGGGATTGATCAGGGCTATGGCGAGAGAGCGGGGGAGTGGGTTGATCAGGGCTATGGGGAGAGAGCGGGGGAGTGGGGTTGATCAGGGCTACGGGGAGAGAGTGGGGTTGATCAGGGCTACGGGGAGAGAGTGGGGTTGATCAGGGCTACGGGGAGAGAGTGGGGTTGATCAGGGCTACGGGGAGAGAGTGGGGTTGATCAGGGCTACGGGGAGAGAGTGGGGTTGATCAGGGCTACGGGGAGAGAGTGGGGTTGATCAGGGCTACGGGGAGAGAGGGGGGTTGATCAGGGCTACGGGGAGAGAGGGGGGTTGATCAGGGCTGCGGGGAGAGAGAGGGGGGGTTGATCAGGGCTGCGGGGAGAGAGAGGGGGGTTGCTCAGGGCTGCGGGGAGAGAGAGGGGGGTTGCTCAGGGCTGCGGGGAGAGAGAGGGGGGTTTGCTCAGAGGTGCTCAGGCTGCGGGGAGAGAGCGGGGGGTTGCTCAGGGCTGCGGGGAGAGAGCGGGGGGTTGCTCAGGGCTGCGGGGAGAGAGCGGGGGGTTGCTCAGGGCTGCGGGGAGAGAGCGGGGGGTTGCTCAGGGCTGCGGGGAGAGAGCGGGGGGTTGCTCAGGGCTGCGGGGAGAGAGCGGGGGGTTGCTCAGGGCTGCGGGGAGAGAGCGGGGGGTTGCTCAGGGCTGCGGGGAGAGAGCGGGGGGTTGCTCAGGGCTGCGGGGAGAGAGCGGGGGGTTGCTCAGGGCTGCGGGGAGAGAGCGGGGGGTTGCTCAGGGCTGCGGGGAGAGAGCGGGGGGTTGCTCAGGGCTGCGGGGAGAGAGCGGGGGGTTGCTCAGGGCTGCGGGGAGAGAGCGGGGGGTTGCTCAGGGCTGCGGGGAGAGAGCGGGGGGTTGCTCAGGGCTGCGGGGAGAGAGCGGGGGGTTGCTCAGGGCTGCGGGGGAGAGCGGGGGGTTGCTCAGGGCTGCGGGGAGAGAGCGGGGGTTGCTCAGGGCTGCGGGGAGAGAGCGGGGGGTTGCTCAGGGCTGCGGGGAGAGAGCGGGGGGTTGCTCAGGGCTGCGGGGAGAGAGCGGGGGGTTGCTCAGGGCTGCGGGGAGAGAGCGGGGGGTTGCTCAGGGCTGCGGGGAGAGAGCGGGGGGTTGCTCAGGGCTGCGGGGAGAGAGCGGGGGGTTGCTCAGGGCTGCGGGGAGAGAGCGGGGGGTTGCTCAGGGCTGCGGGGAGAGAGCGGGGGGTTGCTCAGGGCTGCGGGGAGAGAGCGGGGGGTTGCTCAGGGCTGCGGGGAGAGAGCGGGGGGTTGCTCAGGGCTGCGGGGAGAGAGCGGGGGGTTGCTCAGGGCTGCGGGGAGAGAGCGGGGGGTTGCTCAGGGCTGCGGGGAGAGAGCGGGGGGTTGCTCAGGGCTGCGGGGAGAGAGCGGGGGGTTGCTCAGGGCTGCGGGGAGAGAGCGGGGGTTGCTCAGGGCTGCGGGGAGAGAGCGGGGGTTGCTCAGGGCTGCGGGGAGAGAGCGGGGGGTTGCTCAGGGCTGCGGGAGAGAGCGGGGGTTGCTCAGGGCTGCGGGGAGAGAGCGGGGGGTTGCTCAGGGCTGCGGGGAGAGAGCGGGGGGTTGCTCAGGGCTGCGGGGAGAGAGCGGGGGGTTGCTCAGGGCTGCGGGGAGAGCGGGGGGTTGCTCAGGGCTGCGGGGAGAGAGCGGGGGTTGCTCAGGGCTGCGGGAGAGCGGGGGGTTGCTCAGGGCTGCGGGGAGAGAGCGGGGGTTGCTCAGGGCTGCGGGAGAGAGCGGGGGTTGCTCAGGGCTGCGGGGAGAGAGCGGGGGTTGCTCAGGGCTGCGGGGAGAGAGCGGGGGTTGCTCAGGGCTGCGGGGAGAGAGCGGGGGGTTGCTCAGGGCTGCGGGGAGAGAGCGGGGGGTTGCTCAGGGCTGCGGGGGG